TACGTTAAAAAATTTATTGGTAGGACTTAATTACCAACATTAATAGTCATGTAAAATGAAGTGGTAATCATACCAATGTACCAAATATAGCAGATTACCATTAAATGATAATTATTATGAAAAGTAATAAAATGAGATTAGCCCCTAAACTTAATAACATTAATTAATAATGCTAATTAATAATAATTACAATAAAAGCAAAACTGTAATTAAGGGATGCCAAATACTAATATCAATTTACCACATAATAATTAACCATGACTATTATGATACTAAGGGAGACTGAAATTAAGGTAATAACCAAATTTACCATTATAAGACAACATACCAACTATATTGCTTTTGCCACAAAATCAAAGACTTAATATTATTATTAAGGCCCTGAAACTATTGATAGATTAAAAATTAATCAACTTAAATAATAGTTTGTAATTCTTAATGGCCAAAATAACAATTAGATCCTTAAATCCTTAATGTCTCAAAACAGGCTAAGACAATAATTATAGCACTTAACCACTCAAATTAGGCTCATGAACCTCAATAGACCAAGTGAATTATAACATGAATGATAAATGGTCTAGTACTGTATAGACCCAAAACTTAATATTATTACCAACAATAAATACCAAAATATGGTAGTTGGTAATAATTAGAACTGAATAAACATGTTATAATCAAAATGAGCTATAATTATTATTTAAAATATCAATCAAAATGGTGGGATCCATACTTTAATGACCCAAGATAGGTCCCAAATAGCTTGTTCAAAATAGGTTCTAAAGTCCCAAAGACACATAAAATTAAAATGTTCTCAAAATTAAGGGAAACCAAACAAGCTACTTAACAGGCCATAATGCTTAAAATTGGCCAAAGGATCTAAAATTGAATGATATTTAATAATAAATTTATGAGTTAAGAATATGATAAATCCAACCTTAATGCATGCTATTACGAATGTATAATTATAACAATAATTTATGAATATACGTAGCATGTCTGGATTTGCATATTAATATATAATTAACCCATATCTAAAAACATAATAAGCCTCAATGAAAGTTATATCCTTGATTTATGTCACTCTTTTTGTATGCAAATAAATGTGTACATTTTACTTTAAATGTTGTACATTCCAATGTTATTAGACAAAACTATCCTTACACCGTTATAACACCGTTAGTTTTTAATTCTAACTTTAATAACACATCATTATTACCATACACCTATATCTATCATATCTTTTTCTTATTTTTAATTATCATTTTATTAAAATCATTATATATTAATTTAATACTTAATTATATTTTAATTAAATTTCTATGAATGATAAATTATATATGTGTGTGTACAAAATACATATATTATTTGTATATATATCATTTAATTTATAATTTTTAATTATTTGATTTATCAATGTTTTAATATTGGGCATGAATTTTCGCGCATCGCGCGTACACAATGTTAGTATCCTAAATAAATTACAATACTTCAGGCAATTTAATATAAACCTCAATATTAAATTAAAATTCAAATAGCAAATTTAAAACTTAATATTTGCCCAAAATTGAATGATAATTTAATAATAAATTAATGAGGAATTAAATTGAACAATTAAGCTAGAAGAAGTCTAAATATGATGATGAAAAACACTAAAGCAAACCCAATAACTAAAGTAGGCATTGATTTTTTTTTTAAAGTATTGGACCGGGTCTGCCCGAATGGGCCTGACCCGGCCCAAAGAATCATAATCCATGACCATCTTCTTCTTCATGTTAATTAAGCCGGAAACATAGCAGCAGAGTCGCCTGAAGGAGAAAGAGAGGACACGCGACGACGCCAGAAAACCAGCTCGCCTCCGCCATCTTTCCTCGTCGCGACACGCCGCCGGTCGACGAACGCAACAGCAGCACGGAGATGGAGAGCGGCAGCCCGTCGCCGGCGTCGCCTGATAGAGAAGAACAAGCAGCGACGCCGCCAGGAAAACTCAGCCACGCCTCCGTTGCGTCTCCACACTGTGCAACGCCAACAACCGCCGCCTGCAATTCCAAGTCGCACCACCGTCGTGTCGTCATATCGCTAAAGCCAAAAATGTAATGGCGGCGAGTCGCATTCGAACCAGTGCATAAGACTCCTTCTTTTTCCGGCCAAAACAAATTGGCGACAGTCACGCCAAAAGAATCACAATATACATTTAATTTCAAAATAAAGGAAATTAAAATAATTGTGCTTAATCCTCATAATTAAATTCCAAGCAATATTTTCGAAAAATAAACTATGTACAGGAAACTTTATGTACACAAAATTAATATAATTTTTCGAAATAATTTTTAAGAGACAAATATATACAAACTTGATGTATATAAAGACATTAATGTTGATTAAGGCAAAACAATCAACCATGCAGAGATTATAAGGGCTCTGATACCAAATGTTAGATATACAATAGTCTAACTATAATGAACCATAGTATACGAGAAACCTAACCTCGTATGATAGCGGAAGCGTAGCCATGTAGGTCTCCAGGCTCCAGCCATAGTTGATGTTCCTGTTGTGTTGCCTCTTAACGGTAGACCGTCAGCCATGTTTTGCCTCAGACCTGACTTAGAACCCTAGATGGTGTATTGGTATCTACTGAGTGGTCTGAGTACCGTAACTGAATGTGCTAACTAATCCGTAAACCTGTATCCCATCAATCCAGGTTTATATTAGGCACAGAGTTTGGTTGACTAACAACTACTAGTTATTAAGTCCAACCAGACCACTTAATAAGCCTAGTCAACTTGCACCACTTAATTAAGGCCCTAATATATAATATATAATATATATTATTAGGAAAAATCTTACAAAGAGCTCATTTGAAAACCTAAGCCTATTCCCGACAACAAGTAGTCAACAGAGCAGAGACCCAGGCCGCTTCAGCTCAAATACGCGTCGCAACGGAGCAGAGAACCAGTGCGTTTTCCTTCTCGTCACCATCTTTCTCCAAATCTGCTGGGTTCTCTTCTCCCTCATCCATTCATCTCCCGCCAAGTCTGCCTCCGGCCACCACCATTTGTTGCCCACCGCCACGACTGCAGCTCCGACAAGGTCTACGTCTATGAGACTTGTTGCTCCACCGCCATGACTGCAGCTCCGGCAAGATCTACGTTTATGAGACTCTGCGGTGTTCAACTACGAGCTCGTAGAGAATTGCAATGAGCTGGATCCTTGGAAGGCAACCGGATGCAAGGTGGTCGCTAATGGCGGATTTGAGCTGCCAACGAAAGGGCTGGAAAGCGTGGTTCCCGAGAATCTCCTCCTAGCTTGTTACTGGACAGATATGTACTACGCGGAGCTGATTTACCACGAGCGAATGTTGAATCACCAGTGTAGAACCATGGATCTGGAGGAGGCCACCAGATTCTTCATCACCAGTGTCGGCAAGTTTTTGTTCCCAAGAGGTTTACAGTAGTCAGTCGAGAAGTGAAAAGACGAAGAAGAAAGGCTTTAATAAATAAAATGTGTGAAATTACCTTTTTGTCCTTAAATTAACAGCTTATGGATGGAATTTTAATGGAGGACGAAAATGGTTAACATTTTCAAAGTCGAGGACTTAATTGGGTAGGAAAAATAGTCGAGGACCAAATTAGTAATTTTGCAATAGTCGAGGGACCATTTCAATAATAAACTCTAAAAATATTTATAAATTTTATATGATAATAAGTGTGATGTATATATCATACAATGAGGCATGAGCTCATACAACTAATGGATTAATGTACAAATACAAAAAAGATAAAAATTGATTTTTTTTTTTAAACACAAAAAAAAATAAAAAAATAGAGTTAATGAATAATTTGGTCCCTCAATTATTAGCGAACTGTCAATGTAGCCCCTCAATTGCTTATTCATCGATTTGGTTCCCGAAAACAATTATTTTTAGTCGATTTAGTCCCTCAGGCCGTACCAAGACCATGTGGTCTAATGGTACTCGGGTTGGACTTCCATTTGGAAGGTTGTGAGTTTGAGCATCCACCTCTTTGTGTTTCAGTAGGTTGAGAAAGTATATGAACATATACTACATTGTAATAGAGCTAGTAACATTCAAAAAAAAAAAAAAAAGTCCCTCAGGCCGTCTTCCGTTGATGGCCGGAGGGACTAAATCGACTAAAAATAATTGTTTTTGAGGACCAAATCGATGAATAAGCGAATGAGGAGGACCAAATCGATGAATAAGCGAATGAGGAATTACATTGACAGTTCGCTAATAATTGAGGGATCAAATCGTTCATTAACTCTAAAAAAAATCAACAAGACAACAATGACAACCACAAGATTTGGAAGAATTGGAAAAAGGGACTAAATCGACTAAAAATAATTGTTTTTGAGGACCAAATCGATGAATAAGCGAATGAGGAATTACATTGACAGTTCGCTAATAATTGAGGGATCAAATCGTTCATTAACTCTAAAAAAAAATCAACAAGACAACAATGACAACCACAAGATTTGGAAGAATTGAAAAACAACATCAAAGCATAAAAATAATATAAGTTACTTGTCAATAATATTTTTAATTTAATAGAGAAGGCTTTTCAAGATAATTGTCTTGAATAGTAATTCTTAGTATATGTTGGATCTTCCATCGATCTGAGCCTTCAACACTTATACTTTGAACAAGTTGTTGAGATGGGCGAAATAGATGCAATTGTTTCAAATGCTCAACTTCTCTCAAGCCTTCTGGAAGCATTTCTAGACATTTACACTCCTCCATATATAGTGACTCAAGCCATGTCATAGCTCCTTTTCCTATTTCCCACTTGGTAAGCTCTGGGCAATGTATGACTAGCTTCTTGAGTTTCGGAAAGCTCCCTTCACTGCACAGTAACTGCTCTCCACTATAACTGTCAATGTAGAGATCCAACAGGCTTGGCAGTTTCTCCAAACTATTGAAGAAATCCTCATCTACATCACACGTATGTATATAAATTCTACGAAGATAGTTAGGAGTGCTAATAAACTTTACCAGTTTTTCAAACCTAGAGAGCTGGAGCTTCGCGAGAGAAAGGGGTGGCGAGAAATCTATAAATTCTTGTAATCCATCACTTCGAATAGATAGAGACTTAAGATTTGTCATTTTATTTACAGAATCACAAATTGCTCTCCAGCATTCCTCCCCTTCCTCGAAAATAATATTCAACTCAGTGAGTTGTGCGATGTTTACTAATTCTCTTGCTTGGATGGTATTAATAAGTATGCTAGATAATGTTTGAAGCTGAAAAAATGTGAATACTATATCTGGCACTTGTACTCCATTGCTTAAAAAGAGATGTCTCAGCTGCTTAAGTTGTGACACGCCGCATTTAGACAAACTCCGCACTGAAGTATTTCTTAGATCCAATGTCTGTAGATTGTGCAATCTTCCCAACGAATCTGGGAGATGTCTCGTACCCCTATTACCAGTCAGACTTAAGTACCTAAGATTAATTAGATCCCCAACCTCATTGGGCAGTTCCTCCATACCACGAGGTAACCATTCCAACACCAAAACTCTGAGCAACTTCATGTTTTGGAGCATCTGAGGGAATGAATTCACAGCAATCCCTTTACAGTAGTTGATGATTAGTGTACGTAGCTTCTTCATATTTTCGTAGCAATTGTCAAGCTCAACCTTTTGCTCCTTTTCCAGGATGATCAAACTACGCCTTTGCTTCCACTCAAGTTTCCAGCTACTTTGCTCCAACTTGATGATTTCAGCAAACATTTCCCTTCTAATCACCTCACGGGCCACATCACGGTAAAGATCGTGCATTTCGATTCTTTCCAACTCTTCACCATCGTACTCATTGGGAATGATCTGAAGCAAGCTTCTATTTTTGAGCTGAAGGAAGTAATCCCTTGCGATGTGCTCTAGTGTTGTGCCACTATGGGGACGGGGATCATCATTGATAAACCCCTCTGCAATGCACATGCGGATCAACCTTTGGGCACCAATGCGATATGTTTTGGGAAACATTGCACAGTATAAGAAACATGACTTGAGGTGAGTTGGCAGTTCATAATAACTCAACAACAAGGCTCTGTTGAGAGATGATAGACTGCCACCTGCTTCAGATTCAAATTCATGTGAGTAGTAGTCAAGGCTTTTGAGAGCATCCCTCCATTTTGATGGATCATCACCTTTTGTGGACATCAACCGAGCCATTGCAAGAATTGCAACAGGTAAACCTGAGCATTTCTCAACCAATGCTCTTCCGGATTCTTCAAGCCCATTAGGCCAGCTGCCCGAATAAAAAGCCAATTTGCAGAAAAGGGTGCATGCCAAATCAAATTCTAATGCCTTCACCTCAACATAATGAGGTACAGCCCCGAGAAAAGACCCTTTGGCTATGTTTTTATTGCGGCTAGTGACAATAATTGAAGATGCACGGTTACCCGGAAGTTTTATTTTAGCCAAGAGAGTATGATCCCAAACATCATCAAAAAATACAACATACCTCTTCCCTTTCAAGTAGTTGCAAATGTGTTGGTGGAGAGATTTTCCATCTGCTTTCTCCAGTTTAGATGGCATCTCTGTTCCATCACTTGTGTAGAGCCCATTGATTGTTGCCCTCAGAACAAATTCAATATCTGAGGAGTGGTTCACATCAACCCACCAACAATAATCAATGCTGCGATCCTTCGTGACTCTTTCATGAACTTGCTTCGCCAAAGTAGTTTTCCCACAACCTCCAGCTCCCCAAATCGTGATCAACTTCACTTGATCACTACGCTTCTCAATCAGTTGTGCTATCCGGTTGACTTCCATATCTATCCCCACTGCCTCTATCCCCTCCATATATCCACTCCCACTGCTCATCAGTAACTCATTTCTTCCATCATTTGTTTTGAGTTTTATACCGTACTTTGATTTGTCTGCTTCTAGAACAAGTAGCTTCTCATCCATGGCTTTTAACTGCTGATGGAAGCAAAACTGTATCTTCACCCTCTTGGCAAAGCTATGCACGTTGGCAAAGAGGGAGTTGAGTTGACAAAAATTGCAGGGAGGAGTATTGAGTTCTAGAAGCTTGGAATCCAACATGAATTCCTCCAACAAGTCCTCAAGTTGAAGTGTGGTATCCCTCAGTTGAGTCGCCCAGCTCTCTGCTACCTTGGTGTCTTGTTTCCCCTTGCCTGAATCGTCAACGTAGCCTTTCATGTTCGCTAGCCGAGCAGTGATTTTGTCCACCTCAGCTTTGATTCTCCACTGGAATATTACTTCTTGGGATACTTCTTGGAAAGCTTGTTCCTTCAGCTTTCCAACTACAAAATTAACGATAGCATCAGCCATAACTATGGCGAAACACAGATTGTGTCTTCTGAGTAAGTATACAAATTAAAGATGGGTTTGCTTAATTGTGGGGGTGATAGATTAAACATGGTTTTTGCTGCAAATATATACACCAAATTAATCCCTCAGCTGGTTTGGTGAGATAGATGCCATTACCAAATTAATTAGTCCCCTCAAAATATTTAATCTCCAACTTGCATTGGTCAACAACGTAACAACCAATTAATTAATGGGTGATTAACCTCATCAACCTGTTGGTCTTTATTTATACACCTAATGAGCTGTTCCTAGCAATTTAAATAATCAAAGTAAACATCAATCACATGTCATACAGGATACAATACTCAAAACATAATTAATAAGTTCTGTTTTTGTGTATAAATAATGACAACCATTATACTACGGGTCATGGTCCAACTAACAAATTGAACCATTAACATAAGATTCATTATTATTAGTATGTTGAATGTTCATTTTTAGTACATTCAATGTTAATTTTTGAGTTAATACCACAAATGTTCCTCTAACTATTGAGGTAATACTCCTTTTTAGTCCTCAACTTTTAATTCGACCAAAACACATACCTCGACTTTAATTTTTTACCACAAATAATCCTCTATTAGTATAAATACTGAGAAAATTACATTTTTGGTCCTATGACTATAGAGAGTGTTAATTTCAATTCTTGACTTTTAAAACTAACAATTTAGTCATTTATCTATGCATTTTTTGTGGTCCTCCCGGCCAAATCACCAGTGGGAATTGGCCGGAAAAACGTTTGACATGGTTAATTAAATATAAGGGGGTAAATTGGTCAATTTAAGTAAGAAAAAAAGGACAAAATGGTCTTTTTATGTTTAAAAAAATAAAAAGTTTATCTGCTTCTTCTTCCACGCTCACCGCCGAGCCACCATTCTTGTGACTGGCGGTATCTTGCAGCGACGGCCGGAAAGTTTATTTGCTTCTTCTCAACACTTATTTATGCTAGCTAGCTACACAGAGAATTAATGTTGCCTCCTCAACGTTGCCTCCTAAACCAGTTGCAGAGCAAATGCAGACTTGTTTGCGCCATTGTGGAGATATCTTTCTGCAATTCCATGAAACATCCCAAACAAAATTTAGACCATAACACAAGATTCAACAAGGGAAAACAAGGGGAAAAAAAGTTGTGGGGTTAGGCAAAAAATTCACCTTTTCTTGAAGATATCACGGTGGCTTGCTTCAAGGCAGTCAACGAAGCTTGAACCAAACACAACAATGGCGGCAGAGGCAGAGCAACAGCTATCATGGTGCTAGTCCCTCTTCAAGGCCACTTAATCCCTTTCGTGGAGCTCGCACTCAAGTGGCTTCAAAGGGCTTCATCGTCACCTTCATCAACACAGATAACCCACGCCAAAATAACCCGAGCCCGCTCACTCACCGGAGAATCTTCAGACCAAGACGAAGACATTTTCTCCGATGAGCGGAACCTTCACAGCTTGGACATTTGCTACGTCACACTCAGGGACGGTTTCCCCCTTAGCTAAACTCATGAAGATCGAGCCGCTGAACGGTATAAATTACCGAAGGTGGGCTGTGAAGATGATGGTGCACTTCGAGACGCACAAGGTTGATTATGTGCTCACCGGCTGTCCTTTCGGTCAAACCGCTGTAGCAACAACTCCAACAACACCAACCCCGGTCGGAGACGAGATCGAGATTGCTTCGACCGAAGAAACAATTCCATATCCGATGACACCAGATCCAAAGACGTCTGCGCCCGCAAAATCGTCTTCAACAACTCAAGATGTTCGAAACAAGTTCGAACGTGACAATAAAATGGTAAGAGGAATACTGCTTCAATACATGACCGATTCTCTTCTTGATATTTATGCACCTCACAAGTCAGCGAAGGCAATCTGGGATTTGCTACAAAAGAAATACGGGTCAGACGATGCAGGCTGGAAAAAGTATGCGGTTGCAGGTTGGTTAAACTACAAAATGGTTGACGGTAAGCATATAATTGATCAAGTTCATGAATTCGAAAATTTAGTTGGGGATTTAATAACCGAAGGGGTTCCGGTAAGCGACACATTGCAAACTTATGCTTTGGTTGAAAAATTACCTGACTCGTGGTCCGAATTTCAAAATAAAATGAAACATGAACCAAAGTTAAGTACATGGGAAGAAGGGAAGGTCTGTAGACTAGTGAAGTCCCTATACGGGCTAAAACAAGCTCCAAAACAGTGGTATGAAAAATTTCACAAAACACTGTTGGATCTGGGTTACGTGGTAAACAGATCAGATGCTTGTCTATACTCAAAAGAAGTTGAGTCAAGCATAGTGCTCATCTGCATCTATGTAGATGACATGCTAATCTTTAGTCCCAATGTCGAAACAATAATAGAGACCAAAAGGTCTCTTTCTGAAAGATTTGACATGAAGGACTTGGGGAAGGCGGATGTGATACTTGGAGTAAAAGTCATTCAAAGTGAAAATGACTACAAGTTGTCACAAAGCCACTATACAGAAAAACTGTTAAGGAAGTTTGACAGTTATGAAGTGACCCCGGCTCCAACTCCGTATGACTCTAGTGTCAAACTGATAAAACACACTGGAGCAGGAGTGGCGCAAGAGGACTATGCAAAGTTAATAGGGAGTCTGATGTTCCTAATGAACTATACCAGACCTGACATTGCTCTTGCAGTCAACAGACTCAGTCGGTACACTCATAATCCAAGTGAGGTCCACTGGCATGCATTAAAACGTGTACTACGTTATCTGAGAGGCACCATCGAGTGGGGCCTGCAGTACACTGGTTTCCCAAATATCCTAGAGGGATATTGCGATGCAAACTGGGTCAATGACAGCGATGATGTAAGCTCCACTAGTGGGTATGTGTTTACCATGGGCGGAGCAGCTGTGTCGTGGAAATCCACGAAACAATCGTGCATAGCCAGATCAACAATGGAGGCTGAGTTCATAGCTCTTGATCTGGCTGGGTAAGAAGCTGAATGGCTGAGAAACCTACTGGCAGACATGCCGTTGTGGGGGAATTCTACTCCATCAGTGCCCATTCATTGTGACTCACAAACTGCCATATGTGTACACTACAAGAAAAATGCACATAGACAACGGTTAATAACCGTTGTCGTAGGGGTATAGTTTCTGTTGTTGAAGCCGGTGTTGTTGTAAGTCCCGCGCATAGACAACGGTTTTTTAACCGTTGTCTTTTCTAGAAACAAGAACGGTTTTTTAACCGTTGTCTATTAAGTGTTGTTGAAGCTAGTGTTGTTGTAAGTCACACACATAGACAACAGTTAATAACCGTTGTCTTTTCTAGAAACGACAACGGTTTTTTAACTGTTGTCTATTAAGTGTTGTTGAAACCGGTGTTGTTAAAAGTCAGGCACATAGACAACGGTTAATAACCGTTGTCTTTTCTAGAAACGACAACGGTTTTTTAACCGTTGTCTATTAAGTGTTGTTGAAATCGGTGTTGTTAAAAGTCACGCACATAGACAACGGTTTTTAACCGTTGTCTTTTCTATAAACGACAACGGTGTTTTAACCGTTGTCTATTAAGTGTTGTTGAAACAGGTGTTGTTAAAAGTCACGAACATAGACAACGGTTTTTAACCGTTGTCTTTTCTAAAAAAGATAACGGTTTAAGAACTGTTGTCTATTGAGTGTTGTTGAAACCGGTGTTGTTAAAAGTCATGTACACAGACAACGGTTTTAAACCGTTGTTGTTTCTTTCAAAGATAACAGTTTTTGACCCATTGTCTATTCAATGTTGTAGAAACCAGTGTTGTTAAAAGTGATGCACATAGACAACGGTTTTTAACCGTTGTCTTTTCTTTAAAAGACAACAGTTATAAACTGTTGTCTATTGTGTGTTGTTGAAATCGCTGTTGTTAAAAGTCACGCCCATAAATTGTTGTCTTTTGTAGAAAAGACAACAGTTTCAAACTGTTGTCTATTGTAAAATAGACAACAGTTTTTAACCGTTGTCTCAACCCATTTTTAACCTGCTTAAATTTTAATCATATAAAAAAAATCAATTTATCCATTCACCATGGACAAGTGTAGTTACATAATTTTGTGAAAGCTAAGCAAGGTTCAAAATAACAAGTCAAAATACTTTCATTACCAATTCTAATCGAATCATCATCCAAGTCATAATACTAGAAAAAACAATTCTACGAACCAAGTCTAAATGATTACAACGTCAAATCATACCTACTCTATATAACTTGATAGAATATCAGCCCATTCTGAACGCACCAGATCAATAACCGCTTTGTCATAATCAACTTGTTGGAACTACATGTAAAAAGTGAGTAAATAAATTAGTATAGATATAATAAATTTGCAATGAAATGCGAAATAAGTTTGGAGTAATTCGGAAAGCAAAAAAAGTAGGGTTATATCGCAGAAGAAAGTCAAATATTTGCTAATTTGCTGAAAAGAGATTCCCATATTAAAGAATTGAAGTTGAACTTCCATGAACAACAGAACAACAGCAAATTAACTGCTTTTTCAAACACATTATTATAAACATCACAGCTAAGAAAAATATAGCAATTCTAAAGACAAGAAAGGATACTTGAACTTAGATTTACACTCCATTCAAAAAATCCCAAATGGTGTGTAGACTAAATGTTGCTCAATTTCACTTAACATATCAAAGCCCAAAAAGCATATTTTGCAAACAGATGAGGTATTTGTACACTACACAAGAATAAAAGTGAATCATTGATGCTATAGAATTGATACAAAGAAACAAAAAAAAGTGGGAAAAGTATGCAACTAAGAATATCCTAGACCCCGGTGCTTGTAGTGCTCGGATGATGCCCCCTTAAGGGGAGGGAAGTGTGTCTTATATAGTGTAGAGGGTCTTTCGGATTATTAACAACTGTAAGACATCAACTAGTCTTCCATATCCATCCTCCACGTGCCCCATGGATGCCAAAACGATCGTTTACCAACCTATAGCTAACCTTGCTAGTCATGCGCTAGGGAAGGGCGCACCACCCCACCCCGCCACGCCACGGCCTGAGGTGGCCAGCTGGACATGCCGCCGGCCGGTGGTCAAAGCTGCCAGCCCAAAAATATAGGATAAATATTAGCTACCGCGCTTTAATATACAAGAATTTGTGTGGCTTGGTGGGTTGAGGCTTGCATCTTATGTTAGAGGTCTCAAGTTCAACCTTTGTTGTCAATATTTTAACTAATTTTAAAAAACCGTTGTCTTTGTAGTGTTCTTAAAAACAACAACGATTATATAAAATATAGGATAAATATTAAGTGTCGTGCTTTAATATATAAGAGTTGGTGTGGTTTATTGGGTTGACCTTTGTGTGTTATGTTGGAGGTTTTAGGTTCAACTTTTTTTGGTGATCCTCCACGGTAGTAATTTAATGAATTGAAAATAAAACTCTAATGAATTGACATTGAAATTTTGGTGGATAATTTTATATTTAAATATGAACGAAAATAGAACTATTAAATTAACTTTTGAATTGTATTATTTCTTTGTTAAATTTTTATGCATTATATTTGGACAAAAAAATTTAATTACATTTTTATTTTTGTTCTAGATCTTCTAAACATCTATTTTCATCTCGTAACAAAAACAATGAATGTCCAAATTATAGGTAAAAGATAAGGTGTAACACTTTAGTAAACAAGAGTTGGTGTGGCTTGGTGGGTTTAGTTTTGTTTGTTATGTTAAAGGTCATGGGTTCTATCATTTCGGGTGGCATCCTTAACTTATATTTTATAAATCATTGTCTTGGTTCTCAGAGACAACACAGAACCAAACTCGTTATATCTTAGATGTTGCGCTTAAGTATATAAGTGTTGGTGTAGTTTGATGGATTTAGCTTAGTTTGTTATGTTAGATTATGTTAGAAGTTTTGAGTTCTATTCTTCCTAGAGGCATCCTTAACTTATTTTATAAAATCGCAACCCAGTTATATACCAGATGTTGCACTTTGGTATAAAAGAGTTTGTGTTGCTTAGTTGGTTAAACTTTAATTGCTATGTTTGAGGTCATAGGTTTGACTCTTGTTGTTAATATCCTTGTTTACATTTTATACAACTGTTGTCTTTTATAAAATAATGATGCGCAAAGACAACGGTTTTTTATAACCGTTGTCTTTGTATTCAAATACGCTTAAAGACAACATACCAAAGACAACGGTTAAATAAAACCGTTGTCTTAAACAAATAAAGAACGCGCAACGACAACGGTTATATAAAACCGTTGTCGTTGCAGTGTTGTGTATTCAAGTGCTATTAAAGACAACACATAAATGACAACGGTTAAATAAAACCGTTGTCTTTTATAAAATAATAATGCGCAAAGACAACGGTTTTAAAAAACCGTTATCTTTATAGTGTTGTGTATTCTAGTGCACTTAAAGACAACACACCAACGACAACGGTTAAATAAAACCGTTGTCTTTTTTTAAAAAAAGAGCGCACAAAGACAACGGTTTAAAACAACCGTTGTCTTTCTAGTGTTGTGTATTCTAGTGCGCTTAAAGACAACACACCAACGACAACGGTTAAAAAAAACGTTGTCTTTTTTTTTAAAAAAAAAACGCACATAGACAACGGTTTTAAAAAACCGTTGTCGTTGTGGTGTTGTCTTTTCACAAAATGCACAAAGACAACACACTTATAACAACGGTTAAGTAAAAACCGTTGTCTTTGACAAAAGTGTTGCATCAAAGACAACGGTTTTGGACCAAACTGTTGTCTTTTATACAAAAGACAACACTTTTCTTAAAAACTGTTGTCTTTCTACTGTTGTCTATGTGCATTTTTCTTGTAGTGGTAGCAAAAAATAGTTCCTACAATGGAAAGAGAAGACACATAAGATTCAGACACGAGTCTGTAAGGCAGTTAATTGTGAACGGAGTACTCACATTAGAATATGTGAAGTCCGAGAGGAATATTGCAGATCCTCTAACAAAAGGACTGAATCGGAAAGCTATCCTTGATACGTCAAAGGAAATGGGCTTAAAATGAGAGGTAAGGAATTCAAGGTGGATACCACTGTAGTGGTCAAACGAAGCCATGGAAAGACTTAAGAAAGTTGAAAGGTATACTAAAGTACTGATATGTGAACCAGAGTTCAAAACTACCCACTTCTCAAAGAGTTCAAGACTTAGTTCACTCCTGAGAAGTAAGTTACTCAGGTCACTGCGTGCCAGTTCAAGGTTACACACTGGCATTAAGGTCAGACTAGGTGGTATACTCAAACGCCCTGTTACCACACCCCTTGAATGTGTGGGGGATTGTTGGGAATAACATTCAAGAGGAGTAATGTTTGTGTTTTGCCTTGCTACTTGTCCCACATTGCTTTCCTAGAGACTCTTTTCCCATCATTTAAATGTCACTCCTTTTGGAGTCTTTGAATTGTTTTCAAGGGGGGGAAAAGGGGGGAATTCCCGCGCGCGCCGCCGCCGCCCGCCCGGTTCGCACGCGCGGTGCGGTGGGGTGGAAGTTTTACGCGGCATTATAATTTTTTGTCCGATTTTTCAGCTAATTTACACGTACAGAATAATTATACGCGGTCAGAATTATTCTTGTAGACAAGAGGCATTCTAGTGCGTTAGTGGGCACATCTGAACGCAACTTGCGTTCCCTCCCCTTTTTTCTCGACTTCTTGTGGCTGGTACAGGGGAGACAGGTATTCTCACTACTATAAATACCTGTCTTCCCAGACCTGTATTTTTACACCTGAAAAATAAGCTCTCAAGCTATAAATACTGTGATTGCGTATCTCTATAAGTGCAACAGAGTTTCGTGAGTACTTCTGTGTGAGCCAGTCGAAAGCTCCCGCGTTAAGACCGCACAGTCTCCGGATATAAGCTTTTAAGGCAGTGTCTTGCACACGTCACAGAAACTATCCTACATATATCCCAACCTATATCAATCGTAGTCCATATAAATCTACGACATTTTTATAAAAACCACAACAACACTCAGGGACGGTTTCCCCCTCAGCTTTGACCGTTCCAGAAACCACAATGAGTTCATGGAAGGATTGTTCTTTGCCTTCGGGTTTAACGTTGATGACTTCATTAGGAACCTCTGATGAAAATGCCGGCCAAAAAAAAAAAAAATCCGGCAAAATACAAAAAAAAAAATCTAGGTAGTAGGTAATAATTGTAACGTTTTCCTTATGTTATTATTGTTATTATTAAGATTATAATAATGATAATAATATTAAGTAAATATGTGGTGCAAATCAATAGGCTGAATAAGTATTAGAACTTAGTTAACATTAGGTAATTAGTTGCCTACATTGATGGGATGTAGGTATTTAGACTCCCAAGTCCTCTCACTGCTCAGTTGACGTATCATACACCATCTAGAGTCACTAAGAGAAGTGAGAGAAACACAATCAAGTCTACGGTGATTTTACAGCAGCCCGAGGAACTCCCGCCCGTCAGACTACGAGTCCAGGCGATCAAGGTTCTATCAAGATCATAAGCTATGGCTGGAGGTTAGTGGACCTAACTTTTATTTATTGCCACGTATAAAGTGTTATCTACGTGGATCATGTGCTTACAATAATACCATGCAATCCGGCGACTCACCGCTCAGTTTTCTTCACCGAATCGCCACTTCAGCCTGAACAACTATCCTTCATTGCCATCGTCTGCCATGTATGATGTTCCCAGTCACGGCGTCGGGAGATGGAGTCGAGCAGTGCTTTGAAACCCTGAACGTCGCATTGGATTCTGATCCGAGGATTCGAGGAGATTAACAATACAAGGATGCATCATCAGCTTCATCGGATCATTATCCGCTCCCTTTCTTCTTCCTCTTCTTCCGGCACTCTCCCAACCTCCATCCGCTGCCGCCGCCGCCGCTTAATCTCTTGTACTGGGCTCGATTGTAATTATCAATTTGGGCGGTGACAAGAATGGTGGCTCGGCGGTGAGCATGGTATGTGAAGAAGCATATAACTTTCTAATTTTTTTTTTAAATTTAAAAAGTCCATTTTGCCCTCGTGAATAAAAAAATTAAATACATAGTTAAAGGACTAAATTGTTAGTTTTAAAAGTCAAGAACTGAAAATAACACACCCTATAGTCATAGGACTAAAAGTGTAATTTTCTCTATAAATACTATACAAACCAACTTCATTATAGTAAACGTACCAAAAATCATCATAGTAGTCAGATTGGCTCCTTTCTTTCTAAGTGATTGCGCTGCAGTTACTACTGCTAAAATGAACGATTTGTTCCTTTTAAGGAAACTATTAGGATCTTTTTTACCAGAACCAAAAATTCTACGCATTTTTAAGGAAACTAGAAACCTTCAAAATCTTGGTACTAAGGAAGTTTCAGATAGAGCCCCCATCAAACCAAAATTACCGTGGCAATGATTATGCACCTCTGTGGCCTGAGGAAGTGAAGGTATTTCCAAGCTTTCGTTTTGATCTATTCATGTATTATGTTGAAATGGATTTAAATGTCTGGTTAAATCAAATCTGATGGGAATATGATTCAGTTTACTTCTTTAGATACTTTTTATCTATAGAGCATTCATTGTTCTTGGAAAAACCGAAACAAAAAAAAAAAAAATTGAATCTTGAATGTTATATCATATTCTTATGCTTCATGAAATTTGGATAAAAACTGAATTTGTGTGATTCTCTTTTAGCAGTTTGTGTGAAACTCATTTTGTTGATGCTATTTTCTGTTTATTACTGATTTGATTTAGATGGTTGGTGTTAAGAGGCCATACCCTTTCTCGCCCGAATATCCACCTCTTCCCTCGTTTAATTACAAATTTCCACATGGCTATGTTCCTTCCACGTCTAGACCGAATGAACCAACGTCCTGTACCAATGGTAGCATAGTCATCAATGTAGAATCGCGCAATCTGCCTATAAGGTATGATATGATTGATTTCCATACCCATACCCAGATTTCTGTTTGATGTCGAACGTATTGTTAGTTATTATGCGTCTTTCTCAGGGAAGACACTTCAAACTCGAATAATGCACAGTTTGATTCCAACTCGAGGAGTTTTAATCAAGAAAACGGAGGTCTTAACGGAGATTTCCTCTCGTTGGCCCCTCCATCAGCGGCATTACAAATAGATCCTAGATACCACCATTATTCAAGAAATCCACTCCCCCTCAATCAAGAAGCATCCAGTCAGGTGAAAAATAATAGTAGTAATTGTAGATTAGAGATAGATAGATACAACCACCAACTAACTTGTGTGTGTCAAATATATATATATATACATACAGAGAGGCGGTGAAGAGTTCATGAAACGGTCAGGGATGAATGAATCAGGTGAACCGCAGATTTTCAGCTTCTTCCCGGCTGCAAAGGTGCAAACTACTGATGTAGAAGAAAGCCCGAAAAGAAGGTACCACAGTGACTCAAATGGAGTGGTTGATCTGAACCTGAAGCTATAGAATGTTTTTGCGAAGCTAGAATAGAATGTCCATTGTTTCCATGGTTTCTAGTCATTGTTTTACATTACATGATGGATGGATAAATGTTCTTTTTAGTCCTTAATATATACAACTTACTTTCTACAAAGAAAGATATGGAGACAATATATATTATATATTTATATAAATGACAACTACAAGACTTTGAAAGAATTGAAAAACAAGATGGAAGTATAAAAATAAAACTTTTCTTTGTTAATTTAAAAGAAAAGGCTTTTCACCAACCGTTTGTATAATAGTAACTCTTAGTATATGTTCAATCTTCCATCGATCAAATCCTTCAACGCTTATCCCTTTAACAAGTTGTTGAGATGGGAGGAATAGATGCAATTCTTTCAAATACTCAAGTTCCCTCAAGCCTTGTGGAACCATTTCTAAACAATTGCAATCATGTATAGATAGTGACTCAAGACATTTCATAGCGCCCTCTCCTATTTCTGCTTTCACCAAAAAAAAAAAAAAAAAACACGGTTTTTGCTGCAAATATATAAACCAAATTAATCCCTCGTTTGGTGAGACAGATGCCATTACCAAATTAATTAATCCCACCACTAACAATATTTAATCTCCAACTTGAATTGCATTGGTCTACAACAACCGATTAATTAAAGGGTGATTAACCTAATCTGTTTGTCTTTATTTATACACCTGATGTGCTATTCCTAGCAATTTAACTAATCAAAGGTGATTAGGTGAACATCAACCACATGTCATATATGATACTATACTCAAAACGTAAATAATAATTTTATGTTTTTTCTGTATAAATAATATCATTTATTATGCCAAGTAGCTTGAGAAAGTATGTATGAACAAATACGTACTACATTGTAACGGAGTTAGTATTATTCAAAAAAATATCTTTTATTATACTATGGATCATGGTCCATCTTTAAAAAATGAATCATTGACATAAGATTCATTCTTCCAAAAGGTTAAACCCCAACCCTAAGGGCCCCCACACCCCGACCCGACAAAGCATTACATAAGATTCATTATTAGTATATTGAATGTTCAGTTTTTTTTTTTTTTTTTTTTTTTTTTTTTTTTTTTGTACAGAAGGGAAATTTTTAGATATACTATTAAAAATGAATATTCAATATACTAAAAATGAATACTCATCCATGGTCCACATTGCAATATTGACCATGGTCCATAGTATTTTTTTTTTTTTTTGGAGTACTATTGACTCTGCTACAATGTAGTATCTGTTCATAACTAGCTATTTTCTCAACATACTAAAGCACAAAAAGTCAATATCACCCCTAGTCCACACCTTGGCTCGAAACGATAATGAATGGGGTAAATTACGTTGAATTAGTAACCCGCTATTAGGTGGGAGGACCAATGTTTAGTGCCTACAAAGAACCTACCACATTGGGTGAAACTCCTACACTACTACTACGATCAACAATCTTCCATTATATTCTCTAAGTTATATAACTAAACAAGTCTACCCATTCCTTAGAGCTAAACCTGTCAACTAAACACATCCTTAATGTTTTTGCCAAGCTAAAATAGAATATCCAGGGTCCGTTTACTAACAGAAAATTGTTCTCTGTTTTCTGTTTTCTAATTTTTCAGAACTTGTTTACTAACAGAAAATTGTTCTCTGTTTTCTGTTTTCTAATTTTTCGGTTTTCACTTAAAATTTAGTTTAGATAATATTAATATTTTTTGAGCTAATATTTAAAATATTTGTTTTGGATATATTCATTTGAATGACATGTATATAAATATCCGATATTTGGACCAAACTTGTATTATGATGTAACATAATTAAAAAATTTGAACTAATAATCTATTGAGTTCAATCAAAATCTAAAACATTATATATAGTTTAATTCTTAATTTTGATAATATAAATAATGTCTGACTTTAAAGTGTAAGCAAATAAATTATGTTTAAATAAGTAAAGTAAGTAGAAAAGATAGAAGATAGTGATAAGTAAAATAAGATGATAATGAATGTAATCATAGTAATGTGGTTATAGTGACATAACTAAATAGATGATAGATGATTCTGTTTTTCATTTCGAAAACAGTTTTTAACTGTGTTCTAGTTTTCCAGAAATTATTTCCAGTTTTCAAAATGGAAAACTGTTAGTAAACATATTTTCTGTTTTCTACTTTTCAGTTTCCAAAAATTTTTAAAAATTTCCAGTTAGTAAACGGTCTTCCATTATTTCCGTGGTTTCTAGTCATTGTACGTTTTACATTACATGATGGATGGATATATAAATGTTCTTTTTAGTCATTGTACGTTTTACATTACATGATGGATGGATATATAAATGTTCTTTTTAGTCCTCCGTGGTTTCTAGTCATTGTACGTTTTACATTACATGATGGATGGATATATAAATGTTCTTTTTAGTCCTTAATATAGACAACTTACTTTCTAGAAAGAAAGATATGGAGACAATATATAAATATATATAGTTAATACTCGATTTGGTTTCTCAAGTATTATCATTTCGCTACTTTGGTCATCCACTTTTAAACTTGTTCAATTTTCATCTCCAAAAAATTGTTAACTAAAATGGTCTTAATTGGGATTATTTTGGTTTAAACAAAATATTATTTTTAAATAAAAATTACATAGTTGAGAATAGAATTGAACAAGTTTGGAAGGCAATGAATGTAAAGAAATGAACTGTTGTATATTGATGTAGAAGCTATCAGGTATAAATAGCATACACAGGAGAGTAAGTAGCCAAGAAATTGTAACAACTACTCTAATATACTTATTCTAAAGGAATACAATTTGAATAAATATAAACAGAAAATATCAACTACATATATTCTTAACAATGAACTGGTAAAATCTTATATATATATATATATATATATATATATATATATATATATATATATATATATATATATATATATATATGTGTGTGTGTGTGTGTGTGTGTGTGTGTGTGTGTGTGTGTGTGTAAGTTGGAATTACATAAAAAGAACACCCAACATTATATTTAATATACTCTCTTTACTTAAATTTTGATTAATTATTTAATCCTTATACTTTAAACACTATGATAAAATTAAAGATAAAAAAATAAAAACAAATACATTAGGTTCCGATTGGAAAGTAGGAAAATGACTTCTAGAAAACGTTTTATGGAAAATGAGTCATTTTTCAGAAAATATTTTCCTTTCTGGTGTTTTGCGACACAACGGAAAACTGTCTTTGTGTGTTTGGTTCATTTTCCAGAAAATGAGTAGGAAAATGAAAAGAAATGAATACTTCAAAATTTTAATTATTTTTTTGAAGGTCAACCAATGTGGTTGTATTTATAGATAAACTGAAATAGAGTCAGGCGGGACTCCATCCCAATACATAGCTGTATCAAAATCAAAAGTCGTAGAAGCTAAAGTATGCACTAAATAATTCTGCGATCTAGGAATAAAATTAATTAAACACGAAGTAAAAGTAGATATGCAATTTCTGCATCCGTCAATAGCGTAACCAATGTACGATCGGGGTGGTGCGCCTGCTGAAGATAGATAGCTCTGAAGAATTTGACAATCTGTAAAAAACTCAATATACTGTTCTCCACGTGCTCGTAACCATGATAGGGCTTCCTTACACGCAAATGCCTAGGCCATAAGTAGGAAAAAACAATTTGGCAAGGAGGCATTGTATGCTGAAATATATCCTCCATCTACATCCATGAGTAGCACTTCGACCGTGGCTGAGTTCGTTGCATGGTGGTAACCCGCGTCGGCGTAGCACTTGTTCGGCCGTGGAGTGGCAGCGTGGGGCACATCGGGCAGTGGTGGTGGTGGAGTCTCCGACTGGGCAGCGTGCTCGGCTACTGCCTGCAGTAGCGTAGTCGGCTGGGCAGAACGGAAATCTCCAGGCAGCAGCAGTGGTGTCGGTAGCGGTGGTTGGACGGCGTGGGCATCGGCAGTCACCCCAGCTGGCGTTCGGCCGGCTGTAGCATCGTGAACCTACTGTCATGCCCGCATGGTGGCTTTTGCCGTAGCTAGCAACTTCGTTGGTAACGATAGGCACGCATCCCAAACTGCTCCATTTCTTGCTCTCCATAGGTGATATAATATTACAGCTGTGTAGAAAATTCCACCTGAGTCTAGAATATTTAAGATTTCACTAAACCATTCATGAAAAATATTTGTCACAACATTTGAGAGTGGAAGGTTGGATAGAGCCCATATGGAGCTTGCATAACCACACAATACCAATGAATGCATAGTGTCCTCATTGATGACAAATGAGCACACAATAATAATATAATAATATATTTTTATTAGAAATAGAGACTTTTTAGGAATTCAGTGGGAAGTTAAAGTTCAGGATTTTGTTTTTATATATAGAATAGATTGGAATAGGAATTGCATTACACTATTTTATAATATTTGAATAGGAATTTTAACCTAGAATTATAGTACGGATAGAAAAATAGAAAACAGTATATTTTTATTAGAAAGAGAGATTTTTTTGGAATTCAGCGGGAAGTTAAAGTTCAGAATTTTGTTTTTATATATAGTATAGATTAGAATAGGAATTGTATTACACTATTTTATAATATTAGAATAGGAATTTTAACCTATTGGGGATTCAGCCTTTTGGGAGAAAAATAAGAATTTTAACTTAGAATTATAGTACAAATAGGAAAATAGAAAATAATATATTTTTATTAGAAAGAGAGATTTTTTAGGAATTCGGTGGGAAGTTAAAGTTTAGGATTTTGTTTTTATATATAGTATAGATTGGAAGAATAAGTATGAATTTTATCTTGACCAATTGCATGATAAAAATATTTATAATTTTTTATAACAATGAGATCATACAACTAATGGAATAATGTACAAATACAAAAAAAATAAAAATTGATTATTTAAACAAAACAAAAAAAAAAAAAAAAAAATCAACAAGACAACAATGACAACCACAAGATTTGGAAGAGTTGGAAAACAACATCAAAGCATAAAAATAATAAAAGTTATTTTTTTTTGTCAATAATATTTTTAATTTAATAGAGAAGGCTCTCCCCTTTTTGTGTGTTGAAAAGTAACTCTTAGTATATGTTTAATCTTCCATCGATCTGATCCTTCAACACTTATCCTTTGAAGAAGTTGTTGAGATGGGCGTGATAGATGCAATTGTTTCAAATGCTCAACTTCTCTCAAGCCTTCTGGAAGCATTTCTAGACATATGCAGTTCAGTATATATAGTGACTCAAGACATGTCATAGCTCCTTTTCCTATTTCCCACTTGGTAAGCTCCGGGCATTGAATGACTAGCCTCTTGAGTTTTGGAAAGCTCCCTTCACTGAACAACAACTGGGCTCCACTATAACCGTGAATTTGGAGATCCAACAGGCTTGGCAGTTTCTCCAAACTATTGAAGAAATTTTCATCTACATCATCTAAATATATACGAATTACACAGAGATAGTTAGGGGTGCTAATAAAATTTACCAATTTTCCAGTGCCAATGAGCTGGAGCTTCTTGAGAGAAAGGGGTGGTGAGAAATTTATAAATTCATTTAATCTACGACTTCGAATAGATAGAGAGCGAAGATTTGTCATTTTTTTGACAGAATCACAAATTGCTCTCCAGCATTCTACCCTTCTTCCGAAAATAATTTTCAGCTTAGTGAGTTGTGGGATGTTTACTAATTCTCTTGCTTGGATGGCATCAATCAGTATGCCAGATAATGTTTGAAGCTGTGAAAATGTGAATACTATATCTGGCACTTCTAATCTATAACTTCCAAAGAGATGTCTCAGCTGCTTAAGCTCTGACACGCATTCAGGCAAAATATTTAAACCACTATATCTTAAATCCAATGTCTGTAGATTGTGCAATCTTCCTAACAAGTCAGGAAAATGTGTTACTGTATGATAACTGGACAGCTCTAAGTATTTAAGATGAATTAGATCCCCAACCTCATTGGGCAGCTCCTCCATACCACCAGGAAAGCGTCTCAACACCAAAACTCGGAGCAACTTCATGTTTTGGAACATCTGAGGGAATGAATTCAGAGCCATCCCTTCACAGTGGTTGATGATGAGTGTACGTAGCTTCTTCATATTTTCGTAGCAATTATCAAGCTCAACCTTTTGCCCCTCTTCGAGGATGATCAAACTACGCCTTTGCTTCCACTCAAGTTTGGTACTTTGCTCCAATTTGATGATTTCAGCAAACATTTCCCTTCTAATCACCTCACACGCCACATCACGGTAAAGGTCGTGCATTTCAATTCTTCCCAACTCTTTACCATTATACTCATTGGGAACGATCTGAAGCAAGCTTCTATTTTTGAGCTGAAGGAAGTAATCCCTTGCTATGTGCTCTAGTGTTGTGCCACTATGGGGATCATCCTTGATAATAAACCCCTCCGCAATGCACATGCGGATCAACCTTTCGGCATCAATGGTATATGTTTTGGGGAACATTGCATAGTATAAGAAACATGACTTGAGGTGAGTTGGCAGTTCATAATAACTCAACAACAAAGCTCTGTTGAGAGATGATAGACTGCCACCTGCTTCAGATTCAAATTCGTGTGAATAGTAGTCAAGGGTTTTGAGAGCATCCCACCATTTTGATGGATGATCACCTTTTGTGGACATCAACCGAGCCATTGCAAGAATTGCAACAGGTAAACCTGAGCATTTCTTAACCAATGCTTTTCCAGGTTCTTCAAGCCCATTAGGCCAGCTGCCAGAATAAAAAGCCAATTTGCAGAAAAGGGTGCATGCCAAATCAAATTCTAATGGCTTCACCTCAACATAATGAGGTGCAGCCCCAAGAAAAGACCCATTGGCTATATTTTTATCACGGCTAGTGACAATAATTGAAGATGCACGGTTGCCCGGAAGTTTTATTTTAGCCAAGAGAGTATGATCCCAAACATCATCAAAAAATACAACATACCTCTTCCCCTTCAAGTAGTTGCAAATGTGTTGGTGGAGAGAATTTCCATCTGCTTTCTCCAGTTTAGACGGCACCTCTGTTCCAACACTTGTGTAGAGCCCATTGATTGTTGTCCTCAGAACATATTCAATATCTGAGGAGTGGTTCACATCAACCCACCAACAATAATCAATGCTGCGATCCTCCATGACTCTTTCATGAACTTGCTTCGCCAAAGTAGTTTTCCCACAACCTCCAGCTCCCCAAATTGTGATCAACTTCACTTGACCACTACGCTTCTCAATCAGTTGTGCTATCCGGTTGACTTCCATGTCGATCCCCACTGCTTCTATCCCCTCCATATATCCGCTCCCACTGCCCATCAGTAACTCATTTCTTCCATCATTTGTCTTTAGTTTTATTCCGTACTTTGATTTGTCTGTTTCTAGAGCAAGTAGCTTCTCATCTATGGCCTTTAACTGGTGATGGAAGCAAAACTGTATCTTCACCCTCTCCACCAAGCTCTGCACGTTGGCAAAGAGGGACTTGACTTCACAAAAATTGCAGGGAGGAGTGTTGAGTTCCAGAAGCTTGGAGTCCAACATGAACTCCTCCACCAAGTCCTCAAGTTGAATTGTGGTATCCCTCAGTTGTGTCGCCCACCTCTCTGCTACTTTGGTGTCTTGTTTCCCCTTGCTTGAATCCTCAACGTAGCCTTTCATGTTGGCTAGCCGAGCGGTGATCTTCTCCACCTCAGCTTTGATTCTCCACTGGAATATGACTTCTTGGAAGGCTTGCTCCTTCAGCTTTCCAACTACAAAATCAACAATAGCACCGGCCATAACTATGGCAAAACACAGATTGTGTCTTCTGAGTAAGTCTACCAATGCAATTGAACAGATTAAAGATGGATTTGCTTAATTGTGGGGGTGATTCAACATGCTTTTTGCTGCAAATATAATATATACACCAAATTAATCCCTCAGCTGGTTTGGTGAGATAGATAGATGCCATTACCAAATTAATTAATCCCACCACTAACAATATTTAATCTCCAACTTGCATTGGTCTACAACAACCAATTATAATTAATGGGTGATTAACCTAATCTATATTTGTCTTTATTTATACACCTGATGAGCTATTCCTAGCAATTTAACTAATCAAAGCTGAACATCAACCGCATGTCATATATGATATTATACTCGAAAAGTAAGTAATAATTGTATGTTTTTCTGTATAAATAATACTCCGTATCATTTATTATGTTAAGTAGCTTGTAGCTTAATGTCACTTCGGTGAATCTCCCAAATGGAAGGTAACAGAGTTGAGAAAATATATATGGACAGATACTACATTGTAACAGAGTCTAGTACTAAAAAAAAAATATCATTTATTATACTATGGATCATGGTTCATCTTAAAAAAAAAAAATGAATCATTAACATAAGATTTATTATTAATATATTGATTTTTTTTTTTTTTACGGAAGGGTCATTTTTAGATATACTATTAAAAATAACATTTAATATGCTAAAAGTGAATACTCACCCATGATCCACATTGCAATATTGACCCTAGTTCATAGTATTTTTTTTTTTTTTTTGAATACTACTGACTCTATTACATTATAGAGAACTGATGTTCGATCTCATGACCTCCTACATGGGAGAGGTCACTACATGTCATCTGAGCACAAGTATAATTTCAATGTATAATTTGTGTAAATAATATAAAACATTATTGAATGTTGTATCAACCCATGGCCTCCACTGTCCACACCAAACCTACCACCGGGTGAAATTCCTACAGCATAGTACTACGATCAACGATCTTCCATTATATTCTCTAAATTATATAAATAAACAAGTCTACCGACCAAATTATTCATGCACCATCATACTAGTCAATTTTCATTAAATATTTTACATCCAAGTTGGTCACAAACGGCTAATACTAACAAATGGACCTAGCCATTAGTAATTTAATTAAGGTAAAATGGTAAATGTTACACACTCTACAATACCATTCCCTATTAGTCACTTTCAATTAATCAATAATTAACTTACTGCACGTTTAATTCACAGAATAGGCCTAAAATGGAATAGCATTTCCGGAAATAAGTTTATTCCGTTGTTTGGTAATGCTTTTGTTCCCAAGAATATTATTATTAGGAATGAGCTATTCCCCTTGCAAGGCAAATAAAGATTCCAGGCCCCATGGTATTAGGTTATTCCTGAGTTCTCATAAACTTGTTATTTTCTATTTTACCCCAATTAAATCTAAGTATACCATTGAACAAAAGATCAATTTGCTTTGGGGGCGGGGGGTTGATTCAACACAATCGCTATACACCTATACCGTGGACCAGGATCCACAGTGCACTATGGACCTTGGTCCTAAATGATGTAGTTTTGAATTGTAATTTTGATGGTGATTGTTTGTTATTCAATTTCGGTTACATGTTTTTTTTTTTACTGTAAAACATGTATATGTATTTTGCGTTGTCAGTTTCTGTGTCATATGTTGTGTAATTCTGTATCTTAAGAATATAAATTCTGTACTTGAAACAAATTAGTAATTATGTAACACACAACATATTGTGTGTCTTATATTATGAGTTTATACTTTGTATTGTGAAATTATGTGCCTATAAAACATAAATTCTCCACCTAAATCACACTTAAAAACAAGTGAATATATAACATACATGTCTTGTGTGCTGAGATTTGTTTTACTCAAAATCTTGAACTTTGTGCTGAGATTTGATTGCAATAGCAGCTCAATAAGATCATGCTCTAAAGTGTTGTAATAGTAGTAGATCTTTAAGAAAATTGACTAAAAAGCCCCCCAAAGAGGTTGCTCAGATTGAGAATATTTTTATTTCTCTGAATCTGCAGGATACTTTTCTCTATATTTATCTAGTATGGATTGTGTTTTATTCTTGGAAAAAGGGAATACATTGAATCTTGAATGTTAAATCATATTCTTTATGCTTCAGTTTGTTTAATGAAATTAGGATAAAGACTTAATTTGTGTGATTCTGTTTTTCTAAATTTATTCTGCCAGGCCAGGCCTCTGCAGAAACTCATTTTGTTGATGCTATATTCTGTTTAAATTACTATAGCATTATGTTTAATATGGTCTCTTTATTTAAATTTTGATTAAATATTTGATCCTTATACTTTAAACACTATGATGAAATAAAAGATAAAAAATTAGCACGTACACTAAACTCGGTTAAATATGATAATCTCGTCACCATGACCGCTGCCCTCGTTCTAGGCCGTTTGAGGTTCAGATCTGGACCTCATGTTTGACAGCCGTGGCTGTCCAGCTGTCCTCGCCGGACAGCCACGGCTGTCTGTGAAATACTCAGCCACCGGCTGTCCTTGCCGAACAGCCGGTGACTGGAATTCCTTTTTTTTTATTATTTAATTTGTAATTATTTTTATTATGTTTTTTAATAATTAAATTAGTAACCGGTTAGCAACCTGCAAAAAAAAAAAAAAAAAAAAAAAAAGTCATTTGAACAAATTTAGCTGGTAAGTGTGGATAATTAAACTTTAATTTAGTTCGTGGTGGAAATTGAGCACTTCGCAGTTGCAATCGTTATGCCATGGAACCGTGTTCACCATCCATGGTGAACACGGTCCCAAACGGTAACGGTGCCTACGGGCACCGTTATCTTCCACCAATCTTTTTTTTTTTAATTAACAGCGTGACTTTTCTTCTTCATATTCACATTTTGCGGTTTCACTTCCTCTTCGCGCAAGTTTCTTCAACACTCATAAATTATGAATGTGCATGTATGGATTTATGAATGTGCAGTTATGAAATTATATGAATTTTTTTTTATGAGATTATGAATTTTCTGTTATGAAATTATGAATTTTCTTTTATGAGATTATGAATTTTCTGTTATGAGATTATGAATTTTCTGTTATGAGATTATGAATGTACAGAAAATTCATAATTACATAATTGTAAATTCATAATCTCATAATAGAAAAGTCATAATTTAATAAATATTTTTCTTTTATGAGGTTATGAATTTCCTGTTATGAGATTATGAATTTCCGTTATGAGATTATGAATGTAGAGAAAATTTATAATTACATAATTGTAAATTCATAATCTCATAACAGAAAATTCATAATTTAATAAATGTAAATTCATAATCTGAACATAGAATGCAAAACGTCGTTAACAGCACATTAACTAAATTTTTTTCTTTTTCGGTAAAAACGATGTCATTTGGGACCGTGTTCACCAAGCTTGGTGAACACATTTTCACGGCATAATTTGCATCGCAGTAGCAGATATGCATATTTGACACTTCTCCCTAATTAATATTGCTTTGATTATATTGAATTACTTTTTTGGGTGACTTATCCACTATGCTAGAAAAGTGATAATGAATCAACTTGGTTACAATTAATGTCGAACTATTTGAAATTTAATTAGTTTATTTATAAGATTAAAATGAATTGGCAAGTACATGATCTGGCCATTGCAGAAGTACTTAGAGGAAACTTTGGATGAAAAAAAAAAAAAAAAAAAAAAAAACAAAAACAAAAACAAAAACAAAAAAAAAAAAAAAACAAACAAGTGAGACTTGATAGTTACGTTAAATATAGAGGAGATCAAATATTTCAAACCCTCAAGATATAAGGCTGTATTTTTTTCCTTAACTTAGTTTTTCTCTCACAAGATTTTCTCAGGTTTTTAACGAAGCACTCGAAGCAATAGATGCATTATCCATATACCATGTATTCTTTTCTCGATTAGATTTTTTACAGAATTTTTTTAGCAGTTTTTTTTTTTTTTAAAAAAAGGCATGATTATGGCAAAATAATATATCCAAGGGGGAGTGTTATAAATAAATAATAAATATGGACATTATTGATAGTGTAACGGAAGTAACGGTCCGTTAATTAAGCGTGTCATTATTGTATCCGTTATATTTTGTATTATATATAAAGTGACATGTATTGTATTAACTAGTTTTTTCTATGGGTGATGTGCAAAAATATATGCCTAATATTTATATTTTTAAAAATAACAAACAAATCCTTACTAATTAAAATCTATATGAAATCAAATTTATTTATTATATTAATCCAATATATAATATTATCATTAAAGAATATAAGAAAATATAAGGTGGATGCATATAATAGAAAAGATAACGGAAGTTATAACGGTAGGAGTATTTTTGTCCAAAAAGTTATATAGTACAATTCTAAAAGCATAATATACAAAATGATTAGCACTACAAATTAAATATAGACATAAATTAGTGATATAACTTTAATTGAGACTTTTAATTTAGATTAGAAATGTTGGTTAATGAAAACCCTGGTTATCTACAGTATTACCTGCTCTCTCTCTTTTACTCTTTTCCATATCATCTATCTTGCAAAATTCTCAAAGGCTTGAGCGAAAGTCAAGCCAAAGAGGGGGTTTGGAAATAGTTTTCAACCAGCAATAAACGCGCCTCGGTTATAACCTCACTAGCTGCGTCATTGCCCCAAGCGCAAAGATGCTTTCAACTCTCTCATGGCTTCGTATTTTATAGAAGCGTTATTTCCTTTCCGTTCCAATACGCGGTCGATGTGGGTAAAGAACAACTCCCTAATACCAAAACATTCGCTTGTTTAATTTATCTCTGACTGATCTGATAGTGATGATTGCAATTAAATGCTTAATTATTATATATTACTCCATATGTATAAAGTTATAACAACACATCAATACAATGGAGCAATATAATGATCTGGTTTCCATCTGTCAAAGATGGCTCGAATGAGGAGGCCGGATAATTTTGCTTCATCAAAAC